TTAGGATCTCCAATCAGGTACTAAGGAAATTAGATAGTAGGAAATTGGTAACCTGACTCCACATCTGTCTTTCAATTCATTGAAGTCACTTGAGTAGCATCCCCCATGACAGAATGAATCTGAGCAGAGAGGATCTGGGCAGGCGCCTGCAGGTGTGAGAGTGATGCTGTGGGCCCATCTGTCAGTCAGCTTTCTGGGAGGGTGTTTTCTAATGCTAGTAAACATGGATAGATCACTTTGAAACAATATGAGGAGTTTTATTTCCTTAGAGCATGTCAGATGGAGAGGTTTTCCTATGAATTAAGAATACATATTTTAAAGAAATGGAGCATAAAATTTTTTTCCTATAAAATTTAATAAACATATTTTAAGTATGCAATAAGATACTAAAATTTAAGGCAATTTTGACCTTTGCCCAGGCTTCTGATCCTTGAGAGAATCTGAAATTAACCACAGTCCTCTGACTCTGCATTTTCTCCAGTAGAAGCATGTGATAAAATTCTATGTACTATCAATGGAGCTATATTTGTAATAGACTGTTCTGTGCGACACATCCCAAGCTGCGTAACAAAAACCTCAACCATAGACACCAGTTTTCTAACAGTGCCCATATCTGCCCTAAGAGGACAGTCACAGCACACCTCTGTCTAGAAGGATAAAACTGATGAGGTATAAATGAGATCAATCCAGTGGGAGCACTAGAGATAGGTGAAAGGAAAACCGGAAGAAAACTGATGCAATATGTATCAGGACAGAGTTATTCTTCATTCTTAGAACTATGGCAAACCATTATGGAGTAAAAGCAACCTTTAAATGTATCTGGTAGAAAACGTAATTCCCAAAGGAAGTTGCTTCCCAAATCTGCCCACTCTGGACCGAAGAATTTTGAAACCAAATGCTTGCTGAGGATCGTGACTTAATAATTACAATAGAAACGTTAGTCAGGAATGGCCGACTGCACATCATGAAACAGATCGTGTGGGGTGAAGGTCTTTTTTGAGCTCCACTTCTTCGACACCACGAGAATAGACAATCTCTGCCTGGTCTTCCTGGATCTTCTTCTTGATGGTTCTTATTCTGAGTCGTTCCCATTGTTATTATGTCCTGATCCATGAATGAACCAGGGTGGTTTCTTCCTTAAATTTGGGCTTTTTAGCTAATCTCCTTGTTTGCAACTGCCTACACCGCAACAACAGGCTCTCCTTAAGCTGTATTTCCACAGCTGAAACTGTTACTAATTTGGTTCTGCGCAAATCTGTGCCGAATGGAAACTTGGAGAAGGGTCTGTCTCCTTGCTCTGCTTTACACTGCAATGGCAGTGTGGATTATGTAAAACATTCTGATTTTTGGCAGAAAGACAACAACTTGTAGAATGAGGGAAAAAAATTACCCACTCAGTTGAAACCACTGATTCTATGTTACGCTATTAGATAATCCTTGGTGTTTCATGTCCACTCTGAGAGAATTAGACTTGAGATACCCAATTTAGGTATTATGAGATGGCGTTTATAGAACATGCATACTTTTGAAGGAATCCTTATATAGGATTATGTCTCTACACAAAATTTACAAAGATTAATACACTGTAGAAAGAAAACAAATTAAAATGGGTTAAACAAATCAGACAGAAGGAAATAAAGTGAAGAGTATAGTTGTATAGTATAGTAAATATAGTAAAGAATCAAATAGACCAAAGAGTGAAATCAATACAAAATACATCCATGAATATGCTTCTGAACTTTCTAAGAGCCCACATAAAGAGGTAACATGTTAATATGTTGGTCATTACAAGTTAATAATCCTGGACATGAGTATTTAGAGGAATGTACAAAAGGACAAGGGGGCATTGGTGGTTCGGTGGTAGAATTGTCCTCTTACATGCAGGAGACCTAGGTTCGATTGCCTAAGGTGAAAAAGGTTAACATGATTGATGGTTAACCGAAAAGTTGGAGGTTTGAGTTTACCCAGAGGCACATCAGAAGAAAGTTCTGGCAGTCAACCTCCAAAATAAACCAGCAATTAAAAACCCTATAGAGTACAGTTATTGGTTTACTAAATATGATTGTTTCTTTTTACTCAGTATTATACAATGAATCTAGAATTATCCCACTGGTATTTGATAGACAACTATCAAATTTGCTGAAATTCCCCAAATATGATTGTCTCAATTATAACTTTTAATGCATTTTATTATGTGTTACAATATTTATTTAGTGTATTCTTATTTTCAAGGTTTATTCTTCATAAATATAAGATTACAAGATATAAAAAACCAGTGCAATACCATTGGTGTTATATGCGTGCTTATCTTCTAGAATCGTAAATTTGTAATCTCATTCACATGTAAAATGTGTATGTTTAAGATGCTAGCAAAAACATGAAAGGGGGGAAACAGGTCAGAGATAACGAGAAGGAAAGGAAAATAAAAGAAAATGTATTGTTCAAGCCATTTAGACTAATATTCTGTTTCTAAATATTCATCAAAGTCACTCAGCAGTTTCTCAGTGTGAGTGTAATTGTGTATGCCTCTTTATTTGTAGTAGTTATATTTTGACTTTTTGAATTGAACCACCAATAAAATATTGCTTTAGTTGCTGCATTTATTAAATCACTTAAAACAAATGATGGAAGGAGGTAGACATTTTTCCTATGAAATCTGATCTGAGCTGGACAAGCATACTTCATTTTAACAAGGCATTCACAAGTCTGTTGCTAGATTCCAAAACAATTCTTCTGTGTTGCGTTCACACAACTAGCCTATGAATGTAGCAATTTAGTTCTGACAGATCAAGCATAAATTTGACTTTGAAAGTCTCAGTTGGTTGAGTTTTACAGGTGTCCATATTGTTCTGACTATGATAAAAGGTGACATTTGGGCCATTGTGGATAAGCTTATGCTGTATCTTGAAAGTGTTCACAATTTTTTTTGTTCTGGTTCAACTTTTGTGTCTAGATCATCTTCTTTCGCCTATTAATGTATTCATTTTCACTATCATAGCCTGCATAGTATTACAGATCATAAACTGGAATCTGCTGGACGTATTTCACCCAAGATTTGCACATTTTGCCTGACCAATGCGTTTTAGCATTAGGCCTGGCTTAGAAGTGACTTTTAGAACCTGTGAGGAAACCCAAACAAGGGAACTCAGGAGCACACACAACACCAACAACCATCAGTGGTCCTCTT